AATGGATTGCAGTCTCCATTTTCTTACTTGAAGGAAAAAGTACAATTTTCTGATCATCTGGAACTGGAAGAGGATTTTCTGGACACAAGAGAAATCAACAGAATTATGAATACATATGATTGAGAAACAGGCAGAAAGTGGGTGAACAGAGCCTATGTGAAGGATGGGACAGGAAGGCTGGGAAGTTTTATTTGTACTTTTCTTCCTCCAGAATTGCAACAACAAAAGAAAATAATGATGAATAGTAGAACAGATTACCTAAGAAGGAAGAGCAAAGAAAGGTGATTGACTTTGGGGGGAAAAAAAAAGTGTCTTTTGCTGTGGAAAAAGCAGTTAAGGATGGCAACTGTCAGAAGAGCAGACAGTATAAAATCTAATTAAATAAAAATGCAGAACAACAACAGTGACTAAAGATGGCAGCTAAGTAGAGGTACAGAAGATGTGGAATGCTTCAAGACATAAAATCAACCTCTGAAAAGATGAAAAAGACAAAGCTGCACGTCTGATAGAAATGCAGTAAGATGTAGAAATGAGTGGAAGATGTGACTATTGAAGAAGTGTATAGCAGATTTTGTATACCTTTACCATCATATAAATAGTTTCCCATGTGCATAATATTCTAAAGAGAATGCCATTATTTTTTCTGCAAATTTATGGGCACTATTCCAGACAGGAATTAATACAGGGAGAGAAAGCACAACATTAGTCAAGGCAGTGAATACCGAAGGAGGAAAAAGAGTAAGTCTAGAATTCTGAGAAACACACTTGGAATGGTGAAGGAGAGGACAATATGCATCTTAAAACTAGAGAATAAAACATGTGTTACACAGCTGCCACATGCATCACTTATTAAATAGTGAAATGCTAACATATTTAGAGGAATGCTAGAGAAATGTCTCTCAGAACTGTTGTTAAAACCTATGACATGCAGAGAAAATGGTGCAGTGAAATAAGAGAAGAAATGAGAGGCATAAGGGAAGGAAGTGAGACTGCACTATGTTCCCGGAACATCTTCCCATATAACAACTGGGGCAAGAAAATGCTAGACAGTGGATAAATCAATTTAAGTGAGACATAAGGGAAGTTTGGAGATTTTATAGCACAAATCCTGCCAGAAGGAAGTGAGGAGTGCTGCATGGTGGATAGCTTCCTCTGAGTGAAACCCCTTTTTGATATGAGCTGATCAGTTGTTTTAGGAGAGCATCAAAGTAGCGAAGGAGCACTCTAACGCAGTGAAGTGCAGACAGATACAAGAGATTCACTTTCTCTTTTTCTGGATTGCTATTTTTTAAGTTCCACACTTCTCTGAACATGCCAAAACCACTGGGTGTCAACAAGATGTCCTTGATATGAACAAGAATAGTCCTTCATAAAGAACATAAGCTTTGATCCATGTTACAGACAGATGGAATATCAGAAATTCACTAGCTCCATAACCGTATCATACTAACTACGTAACTACTTGTTTTAATTAGAAGTTCTTATTAACCTAACGAATAAGAATGATTTATTTTGTTCACATTCTATTTTATGAAAAAATAGTGATAATGATAAAAATATACAGATCTAATTTTGACATCAAATACATTACACAGCTGTAATAAGTATTTAATTACAAAATTATATAAACTCTAATTTTATTATTTTTCCAACTTGTCTCATTTGCAAGGAGACAAGTCAAAGTGCTATAGAAGCTTTTTTGAAAGGTTACAGGACATATTACATATGGAGTGATATACAGAATGATTCCTGTCAGTAGACTTTGGACTACGTAACCAGCTCCAAAGCTCTTAGGACAAAATGTACACACGTAGAAGGATAACAGGTAAATGGCAGTGACAGCTCACAGTTCTGGTACAGCTGAATCTACTGAAGTTTCTACATGCTATTTTGCTTAAATGCCACAAATGATTTAAAATGTTATGGATGATTACAGTATTATACCGTATTATTACATTATTAATACTAAACAGGGTTATATTATTTGTTAATTCACCTCATCTACATAAAATTTCATAGCCATCTTGCTTTGAAACAGTGCCTCTAGTTTTCTGGACAGTTATTAATTAGCTCTCTGTTTTCAAAATTTATTCCTCTGTACAAATATTAAGGATAATTTTTACCCAAATGTGCATTTCAGCCTGGAAGTAATTGAAAATTAAGCAGCCACTGATCTATGAAATCAGCTACCGAGAAATTTTATGTTCACCACTTACAACATTAAAGGAGAGATTTAGAAATTATATTTTTCTGCATAGAGATGAGTAGCTACAAAGCATTAGAGTCTTAGGCTGCATCAGGACTCATTCTTCAAGAATTTTTATTAATGATTAATGCCATGTAAATCTTCATTCTTGCCTCTGTGACCTTCTTCACAGAAGAATTTCAAACTGTGGATGATTTTTTTCAGGTAACAGTTTGAATCTGTAAGCTAACTCTCAGAGTATTTCTCTTTTTCATGGTTTGGGTCATTATACATTTTCACAAGGGTTATAATATTTTTATAAATAAAAGCATATTGTAGGGAAGTACAGAGGAGATATTCTTCCTTCTGAAAAGCTGTTATCCTCAACAAGCACTTTTTAATTAGCCTTTAGATTTTTTTGCTATCTTTAAGCTTTCTCAGAAAAAAACCCATTGTTATAGCACAGCATGTTCATGAATATACTCAGTAATCTTTATACCAATAATAAGTAACACATGAAAATTATTTAGTTCTTCACTAAGATGATAGGCTAGCTGAGGTTCCAGGTATTACTATGTAATGAAGAGCACTTTAAGATCAAAATCTCTGAATCTTTTGTCTGCAGTTTTCAAAACCGTTTATGTTCTTGATGCTTTTGAACCTTACAGAAAGGTACTGGAACTTGCATTCTGAACCCATGCTGGCATTTTTGAAAACACCTTCCATAAGCATTAAGTTAATAGGATTTAACTTGGCGTATTCATTTTTCAACATAATTGCAATCTATGATCTTTTGTTCATGAGTACTCTGAGCAGGCAGAAGCAGTACCCAGCTTACTTAAACCCAAAGAAGTTTAACTCTACCAGTAATTCTTAACTCACTCAGTGACTTAGAATGGTTACCAAAGCCAGCAGTTTTAAAAGCCAGCAGCTAAACTAAGGTACTAAAAAACACTTCAAGGAAAGATTTACATTGACTGTAGGAGGCTCTGAATCAGACCTCAAATGGCTGGTTGGTAAAATGTGCTGAATACTTGCACTAATTGCTTGAGTCAACAGCAGATGGAGGAGCTGGTATCCGTGGACATAAGGCCACTCCTTCATACATCCAACTTTAGATGTGCAAGTATGAATATTTGAGCTTAAGCTTTGCGTTCCAGCTTTTCAATCAGTAAAATAAGTCTTAAGGAACCCCCATTGTCACACGTTACAGTGCAAATGCTACTGAATTATTCATACATCAGCTGTGTCACAGACAACCACACATACAAACAACAGCTGAATGTGCCCTTTCAGCAAGTCTGCTCCCCTGACAGTCCCAGCCCTCCCTGCTCCGCTTCAGCCTCTCCACACCCAGCTTCCAGCACTGGGCTCCCTTCCGGATCAGCAACCACCTTCGTTCCCAAAACAGCCCCTTCACGCCTACCCAAGATCCCAGCCATATTAAACTCCATTGCTGTTCAGTCTTCTCCCCAGGCATCTCCTGGCCTCCCAACAGCCACGTTTTATGTCCTGTTCCATATCAAGGAACAGCAGGGCTGTGTCAAGGAGAAAACAGCCACTGGGATTTTATATTAGAAAAATTATATCTGGAAAGGATATTAATAACTGAAACCATTCTTCAAGAAAACTTGGGACTGGAAGATTGGGAAGGGAAGATGGGCCTGGAAGCTTAGAAAGTGTTTGGACTACCTAGGAAAGATAAATGCTAGGTAAGATTAATAGGTGCACTGCCAGTTCTGCCTGTAAGGCAGAGAAACATATGCAAAATCATCAGAGAAAAACAGGTAGCTCTGATGTTTGAATATTAGAAAGTAGCAAACAAAATACTATTTCCCAAGAACATGATTAACACTCTAGTGATAACTTGGAAACAAACGCCCAGCAGGAGTATTTAGAGGTGCAAATTGAGGACATACATATCACTAAAATATTCTGAGTAGAACAACATTTTTTCATTTAAGTCCTAGTTGCATCAAAACCTATTTAATATTAATAAAATATTTAAAGTTAATTTTTTTTTTCTTCTGTGCTATAGTACAACAAAACAAATGCTAGTCCTACACTTGGGTGCTTTGAAGAAACTGGTATTATTTAGTGCCAGCTAATAAAAGAGTAACTGCACATACAGTACAAATAACAAGGTAAGTATTATGTTGCCTTAATGCATAAGTAATGAATCCATTTCTGACCATTTGCCTAACGAATCAGTCTTCCTTCCTCTTCAAAGTACTCCTTTGTATTACCATGGTAGGATGAAAATAGCCTTTTCACTGACTCAAACCACTCTCACAGTGTTCAAGCATAGTGCAAAGTCATACAGCTAGCCTGATGTTGAAATAAAAAAAATCCCATTTGATTACCTGAGTGACAGATTCCAAAACTGAACTTTGTGCAGGAGGCAGATTGTATTAAACTCTCACATGCTGAATTCAAGAGGTTTACTCAATGTGTAGTCTGCTTGCATGTGTCCATCAAATGCAGAAAAAAACAAGGCTCCAAGACACAAACAAGCTCAGGGGAAGCATT